GAAAATAACTTACAGCAACAGAACTTCCTGAAATTTTGAGTACTTACAACAGTAATAGCATGTGTAACAGCAGAACTCTACCTAAAATTGTAATAAAATTGTTATTAAAAACAATACATCTAAATACATGCAATAATAAATCAAATAACATTAGATACACAATAATTTTAAAAAAATATTTGTTAATTCATTTTAAAAATTAAAAATTAAAAAAAGTTATAAATTAATAATTAAAACTAAATAAATATAAAATAAGAAACTTTATCTTTGAGATTTGTGAACTATCGACTACACCTAATATGAAAAAATGAAAACAACATTAAAACAAAAAATATTGTTATTTTAAAATTTATCTCTTGGCTTTTAGTGAATGATTAGAAGTAGTTTCAGTAACGAAACAACCTAATAATCATTTTTAACGATAGACACCAGCGAGAAGGTAAGCCAAGTTGTCTATCAACACAAAACATCACAGCAACAACATCACAATCACAAAATACACAGACCCTGTGGCACTTAACGCTACAAAAAATGCTGGGGCAGATATTCTAATGATGTCCTTTCTCTTTTAGACAAGGAGCAAAAATGCACTGTAAACATAGTTGGACCTGCTCTTGCAGCCAACCTCCAACTATTATCACATTGTTGTAATGGTGCTTCTCTTTCTCTTTTCTACAAATATGGGCACTGCTCTAAAGACCTAGCGTCCCTTGTTTATCTACTAAAATTCATTCTCTTGTGACTGTTTCTAAGTGCTCCAAAAAGTCTTATTCTTCTATTTTTTTCCACGAACATCAGTTCTTTGGAATTCGCTTCCTTTATCTTGCTTCCCTGTTTCATATAATTTGCAACCTTTCAAGTCATCTGTCAATTGTTATCTTACTCTACAAACTTCATCTTTTCTCTTCCAGTAACTTCCAACTCCTACAATGATTGCTTTCAGCCTAGTTGGAACAACTCACAAATATACATACAATGACTTACTGTTGTTTCAACGCTGTGCCACAAGACCAACAGAACAAAAACATAAATAAAAAAAACAAAAACTTGATCAAAATGACTAACCTGCATTATCAAATGAAATTATAGCCATTCGACAGTTCCAACAGAAGAGTAAGATACATATAATGACTTACAGGTAGATAAACACAAAGATACACATAATGACTAATGACTACATAAATACAAACATACATATAATGACTTACGGGTGGGTCAGCACTGCTCCAAAGGTCCAACAGAACACAAACATACACATAATGACTGATAGGTACATAAACACAAACATACATATAGTGACTTACCGGTGCGTTAACACCGCTCCGGAGGTCTGACAGAACACAAACATACACATAATGACTAACGGATACATATACACAAACATATATATAGTGACTTACGGGTGCGTCAACACCGTTCCAGAGGTCCAACAGAACACAAACATGCACATAACGAGTAACAGGTACATAAACACAAACATACATAATATGTATATTTGTGTTTATGTACCTGTTACTCATTATGTGTATATTTGTGTTCTGTTGGACCTCTGGAGCGGTGTTGATCATTATTGATCATTTATATCACCGGGGACATATCAGTGAGTAAATTTTTTAGCTCTCCAAAATAAGATTATGCCTCTCCAGAAAACATATCTTCTATTCCAAATGTGTAGCTACCAGATGATGTTGTGACTTGAAAACTACCAACCTCCCTAAAATTATACTTTGTGCCATCTGTATGAAGAACATTGTTTGTGCTATTTAACATAGCCTCTCTCACTTGAGCTTTTGATAAAAGGTTTATTTCACTAAAAAATTCAGCAGCCAAAGATTCTTTTAGAAGTCAGCCATATGAAATTCCAGCCATTTTTTGTAGTACAGTTCTGATAACAGATTCAACATTATTAACAGAAACATTTTTACTTAAAAGGTCGTAATAAACAGTGCGAATTTAATAATTATATCTACCTCCTTCAAAAAAATTAATTATATTTTTTTCAAATATGTCAACTCTTTCCGTCAGCTCTTCTGTAAGATTTTCGAAGTAATTCAAATTCTCCTTTAAGAATGAATCATTGGTTTCATCAGATTTTTCCAAAACAGTGTTTTCAATATTTTCTTCAAATACCATGCTTTTTGTCGATCTGATTGTGAACACTTTCTAGCCAAATCAATTTCTTTTTCCAACCTTAAATTTATTTTTAACAATTGGCTAATCCTACAATCCTTTCTAATGTCTCTTTTGTTGACATTTTTGACATTATATGTCTATTTTGCAATTTAAGGTGATTAATTCTCCGTTTGTATCTTTCTATTTAATAGGTCAAATCACCAGAAAATAAAGGTAGTTTTTTTTTATCTAAATTGGAAACTAGAAGATTCTCTTCACTAACACGCGTTTCAGTGAGAAATTTTTCAGACCTATTTTCTAAAGGGATGTATACAATAGAAGTTGGGGTAACAGGGCACGACAATTCATCATTAGTAATTTGCAAGTTTAAATCAGAAGATACAAAAACAGTAACTTGATATGGAACAATTTCACTATTGTAGATAGAAGTAGGGGAAGAACAAGCATCAGAAGGTAACAAAACAAAAACATCAGAAAAAGCACCATTAAAAAATAAAGCAGAGCTTAAAAAATGTTTTTTTAAGTCCAAATTTTTGGTTTGATTTAATTTTACAATGGAATCTTTAAACATTTTAAGATCCTTATAAGCATCACTCTAGAGATATTATACTTACAGTAGGTTGTAAAAAATAATGAAAGATTTTCTAATGTTATGTTATGTTTATTTTTGTCTTCGCAAATTTGTAGAAAATGGCTATTGGTTAACACAAAATCAGGATATTTGAGAGAAATAATGCCATCATTTATATCCAGAAAATCTAAAATATTCTTGTAGGTTGCTGTTTTAGACAACACTTTGGTAGCTAAAATTAATATTAAATTTAATTTGAGTGGTTACAATAAATTTTTGTTAATCAAAGAGTTGAAGTTTAATAATATCTAGATTTGTGAAAATAAAATAAAGGTAGATCATCAAGCTTAAGATTCTATAAATAAAATTATTGAAATATAAAATGTTTGTTATACATTTTTCCGGATTTAAAAATTTTAAAAGTCTATCAAAGTATGACTTACATTCTTGACTTATAGATTGAACCACCATTTCACGTAGATTGTTAAGTTCACAGCCTAAAAGAAGAGAATTTGAATTTGAAATTAAAGTTCATTGGTTCTTTTACTTAGCCAATAAAAAAAATATAAAAATAAATGAAAAAAAAAAAGTTAACATTCTTACACATTTCCATTTTGTGAACTTTAGACTAAAAGTTTAGTTGATTACTATTTCTTTTTGTTTTGAAAAAAACAGTTTAGAGAATCTACAGACTAAAAACAGTAGTAGAAACAGTAAGAATCAAGCTTGTAGTTAAGCAATCCAGACAAAATACCTTTAAAACTATAAAATTTTAATTTTTATTGCCTTGAAAACTTAAGTCATTAATAAGGAATATACTTTCACTTTCGTAGTTAAAATTTCGGAATTACAAAATCAAAACAAAAAACGTCATAAATTACGCGAAGAAATATAGATATATATATACATAATTCTAACGTACAAATCCGAAGCACCTATTCTTTAAGAAAACATAATTAAACACTTGTTTTAAAAAGAGGAAAGACTGAATTTGTCATTTCCACTTGAACACTTTCGAAAATCACTTTTTTTTCTATAATAATTAACCTTGAAGATTTTAAACACTGAGAGCTAAAAATTTATGTATAAATGTTAAAAAGTGTTCACATTCCATTAGATTTTTTTTTATTTTTTTTTATTTTTTTTTTTATTATCTCAAGATAATATTTAAGTGAAGCCATATAAAGCATAGTACTTTTCATATATGGCTGAAAAGAAGTTGAGTAACACTAATTGATGCAAAAAACCTCAGGTTGCTTGCTTTCCTATACAAAAAGATATAATAGAGCAAACTTCATGAAAATTTCGTGTTTTTTGTCAAACGTCAAATGTTTCTCGCTTAGCCATGGAATCGCTACTGAAGTACGCGCAATATTATTATTATTATTTTGATCTCCTTTTTATTTTCACAACAATATAAAAACTTAGCAAAAATAAACAGTTACAAAATAATTTTATTCAACGCTAACTAAAAATATATATTAAAACATAGTCATAAGAAATATATATTATTCTTATGACTATGATTAAAAAAATATATTAAAATAAACTACTTACGCAATTTTGTAGAACTTATTATAAGCTAAAATATTTCAAAAGCGAATTAAAAGGGGTTAATTTATTACGATGGGGGTTAGAAACATTTAGGCCCCCGGTTAAATCCATTTCGCCATATTTTAAAATAGTTTAACTCCCGGGGTTAATTTATTTCAAAATAAGTTAACCGGGGAGTTAAAATGTTTTAACTTTTCGGGGAGTTATTTTATTTCGCGTCACCGGCAAATAATTCTGAGATTAATTGCTGGCAGAGCGTGTAAAGAAGCAATAAATACAGTAATTTAGTAAGTTTGTTATCTTTGTTGTTAGAGAAACAACTTAAATTATGTATTTTAAATTATTTATTTATTTAATTTACTTTTATAACTTTTTTTACGCCAGTGTTAAAAAAACGAAGCCTTTTTTTAATTATATACTGCTTGCACAAACCAAAACTCTCAGTCAATCTATGTACACTTTATACAGGTCTAACCCTATCAAAGTCAGTTGGTGGTATGTACATTTCACTTTACCCATCCCTATTCAAGTCAGTCTTTGTATTTAGACTTTGCTGCGCTTATTCCTAAATCAGTTGTAAGCATACACTGCTTCACCTACGGCTATATGAGTTGATCTATGAACACTTTGAGGCACCTGTTAAACTTAAATGTAATAAATGGTAATTATTTATAAACAAAAACTACTAAACACTAATAATGGGTAATACTAATAAAAATTAGTAATGTTTGAAATAGACCCCTTTTCGTTGTTTTGATTTTTCGAAACAAATGCGCATGCGCGCGTCTTTGGCAGTCAAAACAAATCGATTTTAAAGCTAAACAGTAAATATTAATTAGCGTCTTTTAGTTAGGAGTTAAAGGTTTAATTTATACAAAGTTTTTTTAATAATCATTTATATTTATAAAATAATATGCCTGACGTGTGTTGTGCCTATGGATGTACAAATAGAAGAACATTAGCTAATGCTCATTTGAGCTTTTATCGAATACCAACTAATAAATCTGAATCTGGTGCTAACAGAAGAGACAAATGGGTTGCAGCAATTAAAAGAGAAAAATGGAACGTAAAACAAATAAATAATGCTCGTTTGTGTAGTGCTCATTTTACTACAGGTAAGATTTTTAGTTTTCCATTCAGTTTTTTTGCGTTCTAATAGTTTTCATGTATTTGTTATACTTAAATTAAAATAATAAAAAATAAACTCTTAAAACTTTAAGTATTCTTACTTATGTATTAACTGATAATCATCTTTTTTTAGGGAAAAAATCTGATGATCCCTGTCATATTGATTATGTTCCAACTGTATTTTCTTTTAAAAAGACACATGGAAAACAAATTAAAGCTTCTTTAGAACGATATGAGCGATCAAAAAAAAGGCAGCGAACTCTTTCTAGTAATGAGTCTATATTATTACCGATTCACGAGGTTGGATCATTTAACGAGACAAAAATTAATGAGTTGGTTGAAGGGGACTGTTTAAATTGTCCTTCAGAAAACGAGATAACCCAAAGAGCTGTTGAAATAGCTAAAAAAAGAACAAAAAATTTGTAAATTAAATTTATCTTAATTGGTGTCACTGATATATAACTTATGTGTTGATTAACTTTTAAACTAATTGTTTAAAAAAAAAAATTTTTTTTGAAGAATTTATTAGTAGTATTATTTGCATATTAGTATAAAATATTATTAGTATTGTAAAATATAAGCATAAAGTATTATTTGCATACTTTTAATTTTAGGCACACAAACTGAAGTATTTGTAACAAAAGAAAAACAACTAAAACGAACTTTGAGAAAAAAAAAATTTGAAATACAAAAATTGAAGCAAAAGTTACAAATATGTCAAAGACAATTAAAGTTTACAAAGGAGAAGATAATTGATTATATTAATATTAAAGAAAAAGCATTAAACTTTTTAACTGGAATTACCAAACCAGCTTTGTTTGAATGGATTTTGCAAGAAGTTAAATCTTGTGTCAAACCTATTGTTAAAACAATATCCTTAGAAAACCATTTATTAATTGTATTAATGAAGTTAAGACTTGGACATAAAAATAAAGATTTAGCTTTGAGATTTAACATTAGTGAAGGAGTCATATCAAAAATATTTCGCTTATGGATAAAACAATTAGCCAATGTATTGTGCAATTTAATTGTGTGGCCTGAACGAGCTGCTATAAGAGCAAACTTGCCATGTTGTTTTACAAACTTTAAAAATTGTGTATGTATAATAGACTGCACTGAAATATTTATAGAAAGGCCACATAACTTAACAGCTAGGGCTCAAACCTACTCTACCTATAAATCACGTAATACCATTAAATACTTAATTGGAATAACACCAGCTGGTGCTGTAAGTTTTTTATCATCTGGATGGGGTGGTCGAGCATCAGACAAACTGATCACAATTGAGTCAGGTTTTTTAGATAAAGTTTGTTACGGAGATTGTATTTTAGCTGATAGAGGATTTTTAGTGGAAGAAGAATTAGCAACAAGAGGAGCTGTTTTAATAATACCAGCATTTACAAAAAGTAAAAGTCAAATGGCTGTAAAAGACATTGATTTATCACGTCAAATTGCTCGTGTGAGAATCCATATAGAAAGAGTTATTGGGCGTTTAAAAAAATACCAACTATTAACATCAACTATACCTGTAAGCCAGGTTGATTTACTTGATAGTATAATGATTTCAGTAGCTGGACTTATAAATTTAAATAAAAGTGTAGTACAGAAATAAAAAATGTCTAATAATAAATTTTTATTTTCAAACTAAATAGTACAAAATATTATTTTAAACAATTTGGACAAATCCAAATTTCTTTAGGAGCACGAGTTACATTAACACATGAGTAGTGAAACCATTCAATTTCACAACTAGGTTTATTACATGCAATCATTGGTTTAAAGCATGGGCGTTTACAAATGCAATAGTTTTTCTGCTTGTTGCTATAATAAATATCATTTTCTCTTGTTACAGTTTCTGGTAAAATGTATGTAAAATAATATTTGTGTAATGCCTGCTTTATCTCATTAATAAATTTTTCATCTCGATAAACTCTAACTAGTAGGTAATTTCCTTCACTTTCTAAGGGTGTCCAAATAAAAAAGTCACAAACTTCTACATCTAAAATCATCATTTGTCCTTGTATTTGGGTATAATACTTATGGCTTGTTTTTAAATCGCCATTTTCACATACAGGAAAATCTTTATCCTCTTTCCAACCATTTAAACCTTCACGATATTTGTAGGGACACTTGATTTCGACTAAACCTTTATTGTGGCATGTACATTGAATAATTCCATCTGGCGATGCTCCTAAATATGGATAACTAGCTTGGATATGAATACCAGTTGTTTCTAATTTGAAATTGTTGTGATTTTTTTTTAATAATTTAATATAAAAACAACGTGCTTTGTCCTCCATTTCTCTTCCATAAATAACACTTGCTACATTTGGTGAAATTACATAGTTCATTATTTTGAATAACAAAGGTTTTGAATTTTGTAATTTTTTATTTATAACTTCATGGAAATTGGATGCTGTAATTCTACCAGCTCGATGTAATTTCCATGTATTCGACAGGTTTTGAGTTTTACTCACTTCTGCCAATAAGTTAAAGTTGCATTGAGAATAACTGTTTTTGTATTCATTAAATTTGGATAAGCAAAATTCTTCAAGCAAAGATTTGTCAAGATTGTTTGCATCATTGTCAAACAAAGAAGTAATTGGCTCTGGTAAAAAATTTGTATCGTTTTCATCAGCAGTTGCAGTATTGTCACTAAAACTATGATCAAATATTGTAGTTGGTGCTAGACCAACTACACTTGTAAAAAAAGCTGCTTCTGGGGCAATTGCCCTGAGTTTATGTAAACTATTATTGCTAAACTTAACAACATTTTCAGAAAATGAGTAATTTCTTTTAGGATTTTTGATATTTTGTGTTGAAAAAGGTAGTTGATTTTTCATTGGTCGCTTAAAATTAATGTTTTGTAGCACTGATGGTTCTGCTTTTTTTCTAGATCTGTTCCACACACAAAGTTTGCTAGTAACTGCAACTTTATTTGCCTGAATTCTAACACATGCTTCTACCCACTGAGAAAAATGAGCTCTTTAAAGAGCTCTTTATTTGGTTTTTCTAGAACTCGTCCAGGAGCTCTTCGAAGAGGTCTTCTACGAGACACTCCGCACAGAGCTCTTTTAGTAAAGTACCGAAGAACGCTTTTAAAAGAGTTCTTGTAGAGCTCTATCAAGAAATCTAAACATGTGAGCATTCTTCAAAAAATACTTTTTTCATCTAAATGCATGGTATCACAATTCTTAAATCCACACTTTCATATTTTGAATAACTAATCACTTGCACGAGTATTTTATATTGAAGGAAAAGCAGGGAACGCTACACCTAAAAAAACTTAAAGCCCTTAAAAAACCCCCACAAAAATGTTTGCAATAAAATATCGCACAGGAAAGAACAAAGTAAAAAAAAAACAAATTTATAAGAACAATTTTTATTCCAATTTTTTTTTCCTGATCTCCTTCGTAATATTATCATTTGCCTTGTACATGGCGTCTTTAAGACCTTTTTCGATCTTCATTACGTCTTTGTGTCCCAGTTTTTTTAGCACAGCTGAAAAGATTTTAAATTTATTTTGTAATATTCAATGCTTGTTTATTTGATTATTATTTATATTATTTGAAAAATGTTTAGTTGTTACAACTCACCTATCAGTGTGATGTACACAATTCCATTTTTGACTGCCATCTTCTTCTCCTTATATGTTTTGTGCCCAGCATAGCACATGTTTTTCAGCATGTCTTGAGAGAAGATTTCACTCATAATCATTTTAGCTGCAGTTGTTGTAGCTAATGTATCAAGCTTGAGTGCCTTTAAACGTTCCAAAAGCAACTTTTTCTGAAAAAAATATTTTATTAAGAACAAAATTTTTTTTTACATAATAATGCTATACCAATAAGGTTTCAAAAAAAGAATGTAATTTAGAATTTAAACTGTATAATTTGACATTTCACATTCTACATAGTTAAGTGAATGAAGATAATTATTAGATTATTTGCAAGAGAGCAAATTTTTAAGCTTCCTGACATACATAACAAGAAAACACGTTAAAAATGAAAAAAAATTATTAATAATAACAAAAAGTCCAGATTTAAGATCTAGATAGACTTATATTAGCTTATATTAGAGTGAGATTAGATCACTGAAGACTCACTACATTTTAATAACATAATAATAAATTTCATTTTGTAAATAATGACTTTAACTATACAAAGAAAATATGTATCCAGCTTACCCAAGTTTTGACAAAAGATTCATTTTTCAGTTTTTCCTCCAGCTTATAATATTGTTCTTTTGTGGTCATAGGCAGGCGTCCTAAAACAGAATCATCCTCAACTGCATCATCATCAGAGGAGTCTCTGTTTGTTTGGCTTTTAGAACTTGCAGAACGCTTTCTATTGCGTAAAACAGTGTTTATATTAAGTGCATCCATTACTACATAGGTAAAATTCAGCATGTGCTGATTAAATTCTAAAAAAAACAAAAATTATTTAGTATTTTAATCATGCACACACAAAACTATAAAACAAAGTTTAATACTTATTCACAGTTAAGCTTATGTTATAAGTTGTTATTGACAGAGTATATTTGTTATGTAAAAAATAAAAACACAATGATCACACAAATTATACACCTTATATACACTACCTGTTTGAGACATATCACTAGCTTTCTTTCGGTGTTTATACAAATTTTCCAAGGTTCCATTACACCACACATCAGAGTCAGCATCAGCTGTTACTTTACAAAAAAAAATTTAATCCTTTAGACTTCTGATTTAACAAAGAAAACTATGTACTATTAAGTTTTTAAGGTTTATGTATTTTTTGTTTTATTTGGTTTAATCCCTAATAAAATTTATCATTAATTCATCAAAGGAATATATACATTTATATATATATATATATATATTTTTATATATATTTATATATATATATATATATATATATATATATATATATATATATATATATATATATATATATATATATATATATATATATATATATATATATATAAGTGATTTAGGGGAGCCATTTGCTCTTGCAGCTAACCTTCAACCATTGTCACATCATCAAAATGTTGCTTTCACTTTTTTATAAATACTATAATAGATGCTGCTTTAAGGAGCTAGAGTCTTATGTGCCATCTACTAAAATTCATTCTTGTGTAACTCTTCATTCAATTCTCATCATTTTACTGTAACTGTTCCGAAGTGCTTCAAAAATTTTTATCCATTTAGTTTTTTGATCAAACATCAGTTCTTTGAAATTCGCCCCCTTCAACTTGTTTTCCTGATTCATGTAATTTGCAACCATTTAGGCTGTCTGTTAATCGTTATCTCACTTAATAACCTTTATCTTTTCTCTTCTAGTAACTTCTAACTCTAATAGTGGTTGCTTGCAGACTTTTGAAAGAGAAGATGTTTAAAAAGAAGAAAGTTTCGGCTCTTGCATAAGTATATTTTTTTCATAAACATAAACCACTTTTTTTTTTCCTCTATTAATAAAATCAAAAATTTTTATGCAAACTATACAGTAAACTGCTTTTTTTTATTTCGCTCAAACTCATATATATATATGAAATTATTATGCATTAAGTTACTGTATAATAATTTTTATATTATGAAATGAATTATATATTTTATATACTTATAATAATTTTTAAATTATATAAATTTATATAAATTCTCAATATGAGAAAAATAAAAAAAACGCACAATTAAATTCTCTGCTAAAAATCAATGTAATTGTATAAAAACTTTTATTGTAGAATCTTTTTTTGTTGTAATAAATCTTTAACTCTGCATTTTATTTTCTATTTATTAATCTTTCCATTGAATGAATTGATAATGAATAAATGGATAGCTAGAGTAAAAACCCAAAGAAAATGCTCACCTAAATAATTTTTTACAGTGCAATAAACAACACTCGTTATGTACATACTCTTGTAGCATTATCGTTACAAAGATGTGCAAGTAATAAGTTTAAAAAGCAGTTTTTTAAATGAATAAACAGATAGTTTGCGCAAAAACTGAAAGCTCTTATAAAAACTGTTTTGATGAGCAGCTCGTATGGCTCACCATGTTCATTTTAGGGAAGCTTCTCTCTGCTCTCGCACTCGTTTACTCCTACCGAGGCCTATATATATATTACCAAATGGTCTAAGTAGCACAAATTTAGTAATAATTTTTAAATAAATAACAACTTTTTAAAAACTTTTTAACATGTTTCATCAATAACAATTGTTATTGATGAAACATGTTAAAAAGTTTTTAAATTATATATATATTACTACTTATGCTAAGTAACTAAAACTCAGTCTTTTACTAATCACTTCCTACCTCTTATGTTGGGGCTACTAGTCCTGATTGGTGATGAAGTAAGTCCTGCAGCCATGGCAGTAGGACTTTGTTCTCTACTCTTGGCAGGAGACCAGTTCCCTAACACAGACAACCTAGAAGTACTGGATGCTAAAAAAAAAAAGAAAAAGTAAATTTTAATCATAAATTCAAGCTCTAAAACACCTATTTTGAGAAAAAGAATAAACTTTTTCTTTTAAAATGATATCAAAATATCAAATACTTTTTAGCCAGAGTTTACGATTTTTTATCATATTGGGAATATTAATTATTACTAAACAAAATATTGGAAATTTTATTGATATTGTCCTATTACTTCAACAACAACAACAAAAAAAGGTCATTCATTTTTGGGAAATGTTACTAATTGAAATTTATTTTTTGTTTATTCCACAAAAATTACACATGATAATAAAAACTTTTTAATTTAATTGCATAATAACAAAAATTAGTCTCTTATGATAACCTTCCTCTTTTACTGAGGCTCCCCCGAGTCCTCATTAATGTTGAAATAAGCTGTATACCCCTGTCAGTAGAACTTTGTACTCTATTCATAACAGAAGGATACATATCTTCAAACATTGAAGATCCAGAGGTGACATTGGATTCTAAAAAAAAAAATTACAATAAAAAGTTTTAAAGATTGTTACTTGCAATTTAAAAAAAACATTAAAAAAAAACAGTTTTTATTTGTTATATAAATTCAATATAATTCATGCACACTTTTCTACGGATAAAGATCCTTGTTGTGAAACATTAAAATTTATATTTTAATTTTTGTTTGTTCTATTAACAAAATAATTTTAATCCTAATACTAAAAAAAACAACAACATATAATTATATATAAAAAACAGATGATTCAATGCATGTAAATTGTAACTATTTTTAATCGAAAAATCTCAAAAATGTTTAATTTTACTGTTCGTTTAAATAAATGTTTCGGCTCACATTACCTATTTGGTGAGAAAAGATTTCAAGAGATTTATTTCTATTTTCACTTGTGATTTGGAGAGTGAGTTGTTTGTCTGCTGAGGTTTCAGGAGTATAAGTAACATTAATTTCAGGAGAAGACAAGATTTTACTATATTTTTTTTTTGCAGTGTGGGTGATCTTCATTGACTTTCGATTATCTGTACAAAAGCATTGCAACAAAAGCATAAATGTTAATATCAAAACTGTATAAAAATTATATAAGCTTTCATTATAACATTTTATTAATTTAAAATATGTCATCTTTAATGCAATGATTTTCATTGCACTTTAAAAAATAGCCTCAAATTATGTTGTTTTTTTTAAAAAAAGCATCTTGTGTAATTTTTTTTTTTTTAACATTATTTTAATTGTATTTAAATTGTGTAATTTAAAGTAAACTGGATGAAAATTTCAAAATAAATATATTAAACTTTAACTAAACATGCCTGCATTGTTTTCCACTGTGTTCTTTCGCTTGTAAGTTGGAAATGGTGGAGCTGGAGACAATCTAAAATTGTTCTCATTTTCTTCCTCCTTATTGTCCCAATAAGCAGGATGCAGTAAATCCCTGGCCTTAGCTGATAAGCGAACCTTTCTTTTTGGTTGCGCTTCATCTTCAGTAGTTGTTACATTACCCATGAATGTATTTTTCTTGTCTAGAGCTGCCTTACTCTTGGCTTCTGAAAGTGAAACTGCAAGCAAAAATTATATCTTGTTTAAATATGAGATACTCAAAACATTTCACAACAGCAATTAAAAAAACAATATCGATTTGTTTTTATTTTTTATTAAGTTTTTATCTTCATTAAACTTTTATTACATTTAAACTTCTTGAAAATATCTTTAAATCAATTTTTCCCCAAAAAAAGCTTGTTTAAAATAAAATTGCTTTAAAAAGCTTTGTAAGTTTTTATAAGTAATACATTATTTTTTTTCATTTGGTTTTGGCAAAATTCATAATTTTAAACTTGGCATAACTAGCAGTATTTAAATAATCTTTTTTTATACTTACTATTCTTTCTTAGAATACTACCCTGGTAGAGCTGCCACTCATATACTCCAGTAAGAGGTTCAACACAAGATTCAATTAACTTCTCTTCTTCTTCCTCTGTTACATTGCAAGGCCAATAACAATCTGCAGAGTCTACTAACCAGGCCATTGGGGCATACATTGAATGCAGATATGGTGTTTTGAACCGGAATGCAACATAATTGCTTGACATCTGGAGAAACGAATTAAAATTCTTTAAAGATTATATAATTCTTATAGTTTTTAAAGATTTTATATATTATATATACTTTTTCCTATATATTGACTTTATTCAAAACACATCAGGGTGTTAGCCTGATGTGTTGTGAATTTATTTTTACTGCATTTTTATGATATTGGAAATATAAACTGTTGTTCTACAAAATATTGGAATTTTTTATTGATATTGTCCTATTACTTCAACAACAACAACAACAAAAAAAAAAAGGTCATTAAAATATTGGGAATTATAAACCCATTGGGAATCCCCCAGTGCGATTGTGTTGGCTAATACCCTGCACACTTCACATATTTATACCATCATTTGATATAAAAAGAATAAATATAACTATGCAGTATTTATATAATATACACATAAATATACACACAAATATTTACTTTTTTTTCTCATATATTTTATGTAATACATGCAAATTTAAATGAGTTTAAAGTTTATTAACAATGTATAAGTGGAAAAATTGCAAATGAATTGTCATCGCTAGTAAGTTTGACACATTTGGCTTTCACTATTTGAAGTTGGACAATTTGCAGTGCACCCAAGTGCATGGCTAAATAAATATTTAGGTTTGAAGATCTACACGGAAATACATATAAATCAAGAAGCCTAGTAAACTTTCTTGCAATCAGGATACGTTGATTGCTTTCTGTTGATCGAGCGATATTCTCCAATATGAAAACCTCATTTTCGCTTGTCATAAAGCAGTTGTTGGGACTACTACATTTTAAGGTGAAAGTTTCAAATTTTACTGATGTGTATTGCGGTCCATTGGTTGCATCTACAAGTGGACCCTTTATGTGTTGTTTTGAAAACTCAATATTTTCAAATTTATTGGACTTTTTTACAGGTAAATTTATCTTTCTTTCATGTTCACGCTTTACTATCTGTTGTAATGGGTTAGGTGATATCTTCAGCATATTTCGAATATACCTATTTGCATTCTCAAACACAAATGCAGAGTATTTTTCAATTGGCCCAAATTTCCTCACATCATTAGCTATATGGATTAGAGAGTGGATATTAGCACTCACAAGATAGTTTCCATATAGCATAGCAAAATCAAAAAACAAAATTTTTAAGTAATTTTTCACAATATGCAATCTCAGGAGGAGTTGCTTGTCTAGCAAGAATACTTGTTGCAACATATAAATTTAAAAAATGACAATATAGAGCTTCATTTCTTTGCGAACCATCAAGTATTTTTTTCATAACAAGAGGACCAATATAAAGTAAAAAAAGACGAAATTCTGTGGCTTTGTATAATGCTAAGTATGTTAGTTCTCGAGGGCGACGTTGAAACTCCAATGGGATTTCATTACTAATGGTCATGATTTTATTAGAGACTTTGGCTCTTATTCTTATATTAAGCTTATTTACAGATGGCGCTTTTCCGAATAACTCTTTTAAAAATTTTTTTATGGTGCCAATGTAAATTTGGTGCATAGGGTCAATAACTACCATAGTTACTATATCTAAGAAAGGTATTTGCTCAAGGGGTGTTTCACCATGGTGATGTTCCGGCTGTTGCCTAGCTCTGAAGGATGCATCTGTTCTAAGCGCTGCGTCAATCTCCAAGAAAGCCTGTCTGTTGTTTATTCTTTCTCCGATCACTTCACATTTTGTACAGGAACATTCCCCTGTATGTCCAATTGTATTAAGGATGAAATTTTTAGCTGGAAGGTCACAAACAAAACCACTTATTCGAACATTAAATTGTTTATTTTCAAAATCAATCCCCTTGTTGGACAGTTTAATGTATTCTTCAACAAAATCACTTAGGTATAAATTTAATGAATCAGGTTTTTTAAGTCCATGATATACACCGATTTTAAAGACAGAGACTAAATCTAAATCATTCACTTTCCCCAATATTGACATGAACTGGCTTGTACTGCTTTTACTAATACTAATACCATCAATGCTTATTAATATTTCAAGAGTACTATTATTTTCCAAAATATCATTTGTTTCTTGAATTGATTGAATTAATCCTGCTCTGATTCCAAAGTGATAGTAATGACCAGGGGGAACCTCTCGTAGCACAATTCTATCTGTAAGAGTTCTTAGCAAGGCTTTACGTGTTTTTTGTAATTCATCATTGAAACACTTATGCTTTCTAAGCTGCTTTAATAGTTTATTTGTTGCACTTTCAGGTAAAGCAGACTCCACCACAAAGGTTGCCAACTCTTGTTTAATATTTATTTTTTTGTCACTTGAAAAAGAGACAGGTTCATCTGATGAATCATCTAGTATAGGAGGCAGAGGAGTATGAGGAAGTTGTGTTTGGGAAGTGAGTGGTTGAGGAAGTGGTATCTGCATAGGTTGCAATACTAGTGAAGGTGAATCAACTAGTTGATGAAGAGGTATTTCAGTAACCAAGTTCTCAAAATCTACATTGCCACTGTTTGAGTCTGTATCAGAGCTATGATTTATTGCAGCTTGCTCTCTGTAATACTTTAATCTTTTGTAGGCCTGTGAGCGTGATAGCTTATGAAATGAAACTCTCTTGTGCATATTAGCTGCAAAAATGATTTATTGTCAAAATATAAAAATTTATATGATGAATGATATATAATTATGTAATAATAGTAAAAATTTTAACATATTATTTAAAACATCTAGTGCAAATTATAGTTAAAATTTTAATAACACTTTCTTTTTATTTAGTTGATATTTTACATTATTGTTAATTTATTCTGAACAAAAATTTACAGTAGAGTTATAAAAATTTACATACCTTTAAATGCTGGTCTGTATACAACTGTTATTTGGAGTAAATCAGCAATAAAAACTGAAAAACTATATAAATAAAAAAAACTTGTAACATTATTTGCTGACAATTATATATTAAATTCAAAACATATTTATGAACATAAACTTTAAATCCTAATTCATTATATCGAATACGAGCAATATATATTGTTTTACCAATACATATTGCATAAACTTTAAAGAATTTGATCACAGAAAATAAAATTGCATATCAATACATATTTCTGCTTTTTAACAATTAAATTTCATGAAACTGTTAAAAAGCGCATGCGCTTTAATGCAACAGTTAGCGCATTTTTGCAAATGCTCTTTCGGAAGAGTTCTGCAAAGAACCCTACCAACTATAACATCATTTAAACGACTAAACTAAAAATTAATATCATGCACACGAAAAATCTAATACATTACTTAAAGGTGCTAACTATTGCATAGAGTGTATAATTTTTATATAAAAAGTGAAACTGATTCAATATATAGGCATTATAAAATTTACTCTTTAATCTACTCTACTAACGGAGCTTATCATAGAGTTCCAGGAGCTCTTCCAGAGCTCTTTTTTCTCAGTGGGTAGTTTAAATAGAAGAGCTGCTACATGGCTGCATACAGATCCAAGACTAAAAAATTAATATAGGTTATTTAGCATATGTTAAAAATGAAAAGTTATGTTATAAATAGTTTTTTAAAAATAATTTATTACCCTGCCATGCATGTGCAATTTCCAGTAAGTATCCATCCGTCAACTTTGTTAAGGGCAACCCATACATCATAAAGTTTAGTTTTTTGGCCCTGCCTTTGACTCGGAAGTACCTGTTTAAAAGAGACATTATTTTATTGCTAGCAAATAAAAAATAACTTTTAAAATTAAAAAGTACATAAAATATATATACTTTCATTGTATGTATATATGTATGTATTTATGTATGAATCTCCCACTCTCTCTACATATATATATATATATATATATATATATATATATATATATATATATATATATATATATATATATATATATATATATATATATATATATATATATATATATATATATATATATATATATATGTATATATATATATATATATATATATATATATATATATATATATATATATATATATAATGTATACATATATATATATATATATTATATATATATACATATATATATATATATATTGTATATTATATATATATATATATATTATATATTATATATATATATATATATAATATACATATATATATTATATATATATATAATATATAATGTATATATACATATATATATATATATATATATATATATATATATAATATATACATATATATATAATATATATATATATATATATATATATATATATATTTATATATTATATATATATATGCATATATATATATATATATATATATATATATATATATATATATATATATATATGTAGAGATAGATAGAAAGAGAGAGAGGGAGATACATAAATAACATTCTTACACAAACACATACATATATACATCCAATGAAAGTATATATATATATATATATATATATATATATATATATATATATATATATACATATATATATATATATATATATATATATATATATATATATATATATATATATATATATATATATATATATATATATAAATGTATGTATATATATATATATATATATATATATATATATATATATATATATATATATATATATATATATATATATATATATACAATAAAAATAGAATAATTAAATATATTGTTTTCATTGAAACATTTATTTTCCCTACCTTCGATTTTACAAAACAAAACTGAACATCTTCTTTAACAATATTACAATAAACATCTTGAACATGCCCACAAACAAAAAAATTATATGCTTCAAGAGACTTATAGGCCTTCATATTCTCATTTGTGTATTGGCTCGGAGTATTTATGAGATATGTGTATATATCTCCCCACTGAATATCTGGCAAAAGTGATACATCATCTTTCCAAGAGGCTTCCACCAATGTGTATGGATCTGGTAGCGTGCTTCTGTCACTTAAAGTAAGCTTTTTTTTATACTTAAACTTTTCGGTTTCATCTAATGTTTCAAAATAACTTGATTCTTTCCAACTTTCCATATTTTAGATGTATAGAAGATAAAAAAATACCAAATGTTTACTATTTCTTAATTCAATTAAAACGCTAAAATTGTTTGTTTTGACTGCCAAAGACTTGCGCATGCGTACGTGTTTCGCAAAATCAAAACAACGAAAAGGGGTCTATAAAACATTAATTTTCACGAAAAAAGAAAAATCAACTGTCAGCATCGATCTCGGGTCGCCGCTCACATTAGAAATTATCATGTCCACTAAGCTACACAAGCTATACATGGCAAAGTGCAGTTTTTAATATTATATTTTTAATTATCCTGCCGACAATTAATCTCAGAATTATTTGCCGGCAATTACCTTTTGCGAAATTACCGTTATAAAAGAATTTTTTATATATTTTTTTTTAAATAAATTTACAAAGTTTAACATATTTGTTAAACATATGTTCCAGGAACTAATAAACATGGAGTGAATATTCCATTGTCAATGGAATATTTAATAGATCCTGGAACATATTAAAATGCAAACAGTGCATTTTAAAATGATCAAAATATAAAGTTTTGTTTCTGCTAATGCAACAAAAATGTTCCTGCTAGTGCAACAAAAATGTTTCTGCTAGTGCAACTAAAATGTTTCTGCAACTAAAATGCAAACAATGCATTTTAAAATGATCAAAATATAAAGTTTTGTTTCTGCTAGTGATTGTAATAACTGGTTTGAGTTTAATCAGAATATTCAATATTATATTGGTTTAGTCAGAAACATTTAAAAAGAGCAAACAGGCAAATGGAATGTGATGGATAGGTTATATTTAGGGAATTAAAAGCTTTTAAATCGTTTTTACAGATTCACTCTTTTCGATTGATTTTTCTATATTTTATGCAAGCAAAATGACTGATGTTAACGAAGTTTACCTACCGTCAGATATAAATAAAGATATAATTAGGTGTTTAAATGAAAAAAAATGGCTTTGTTGTTAACAACAAAGCCATTTTTTACATTTAAACATGCATATTATTTCAAGTTTATAATATGCAGTTATTTCAAGTTTAAAATCTGTTTTTTCAATTAAACATGGAAGCTTTTATTAATTTGAATGTGATGAACACAAAATTTGACATACGGCTCGTTAGACCTTTAATGTTTTAAGTTCAAATTTTAAATATTATTGTGATATGCATCACCTCTATTTTATAATGTCATTAATTAATGACATTATAAAATAAAAACAGCTTAAGCTGTTTAACTAAAAATCTGGTCTTTAAATTACTTGAGATTATTGTAAATATATGTAAAATAACGGCAAAATTTAATACTTCTAAAGCAAATTTGGAAAACAAAGGAACGAGTAAAAAATATTTTTATTAAAACAAAAGAACAAGTAAAAATTTTATTTTCACAAAAGATTTATACAATTAACTTTATCTTTATAAATACAATTAACTTTATCTTTTATTATGACAGAGCAGCCTATTGTCGATCATTTAACTGGGTAGGTACAATCGGCGGGGCGGGGCGGATCAATTTAACGGTACAAACGGCGGGGCGGATAATTTAAACGTTGTTAAGATTTTATAATGCAAGTCATACTTCATTTAATAAAATAAAAAATTTTTTAATTTTTTTGTTTATTTGATAGATTCAGATATAGTTTAAGTTCATTTAAAAAATAATATTTAAAAGGCATTTGCAAATTATAATTTTAATAAACGACAAAAAATATTATATAATTTTAAAATCATTTTTACAAAAAACAACGTGATCCGCCAATTTATATCAAGTGATCCACCAAACATTATATAGTAATCCGCCTAATATTTTGATTGCTTATATCAAGCTCTTTAAGTTTTAATGATTGTTCTACCAAAAAATAACGTGATCCACCAATTTATATTAGTGAATCCACCTATTTATATTAAGTGATCCGCCAAACTTTACAAAGTAATCCGCCTAATATTTCGATCGATTAAATTAAACTCTTAAAGTTTTAATAATTTTTCTATCAAAATACAACGTGATCAGCCATTTATATCAAGTGATCCGCCAACTTTTATATAGTGATACGCCTAAAATTTTGATTGCTAATATCAAACTCTTTAAATTTAAACGATTGTTTTGCGAAAAAACAACGTGATCCACCAATTTATATCAAGTGATCTGGCAAACTTTATATAGTGATCCGCCTAATATTTTGACTGCTTATATCAAACTTTTTAAGTTTTAATGATTGTTCAACCAAAAAACAACGTGATCCGCCAATTAATCCGCCATTTATATTTCAAATACCCAATCATTTATTTATAATATAAATAAATATGAATTGCGGATAAATGCAGATAAATGGCGGATAAATGGACATTACTATATAAAAGTTGGCGGATCACTTGATATAAATGGCGGATCACGTTTTTTGGCAGGAAAATTATTAAAACTTTAAGAGTTTGATTTAATCGATCGAAATATTAGGCGGATCACTTTGTAAAGTTTGGCGGATCACTTAATATAAATAGGTGGATCACGTTGTTTTTTGGTACAAAAATCATTAAAACTTAAAGAGTTTGATATAAGCAATCAAAATATTAAGCTGACCACATCATAAAGTTTGGCGGATCACGTTATTTCTAAGTAGAACAATTGGTAAATCGTAAAGAGTTTGATTTAAGCAATCAAAATATTTGGCGGATTACTATATAAAGTTTTGGCGGATCATTTGATAAAAATTATAATTATTATTATAAAACGTTTAAATGATCCGCCCCGCCGTTTGTACCGTTAAAATGATCCGCCCCGCTGATCCGCCCCGCCCCGCCGATTGTACCAACCCCATTTAACTTGCGGTTTTGCTAAAGTTGCAATATTTAAAGTTTTAACTGAAAAACATAAATCATCTTGTAAATAAAAATCATAAAGTATTTTTTTAATATATCTTAATTATGTTAAATTACTAACTAACCCTAGTAAATATGCTGTGGACGGGAAAATTTGTGTGTTTGTTGCCACAAAGAACAAGCGAGTCAAAAAATATGAAAACTTGCATTAAGCGCGTTGAGTATAGCCTTTAATATTGTATGTAGTAGTGTATGTTATATTTTTTTATTTAAATTTGCCTTTATTTTGCTTTTTTATATTTTTCTGCAAAAATTGTTTTCTGTCACTCTATCCTTCTGAACTTAGGTGATTAAATTTTTGTTTTCTCTTAAATATTTTTTCAATCATTTTATCTTATCCGTTCATTCTCTCTTTTTTTTTTCCAACTTTTTAAATATTATTGTTCCTTATACTTCTTTTTTTATTACTTGTATTAATTTAGTTTACTTTCTTTATTATTTCCTTGTTTTAATATTTTTTTATTTAATTTGTTTATTTTATTAAGGTGTCACTCCATTGACTATTTTTAATATGAGTGACACCGAACCTAAATTTGTAACTTATAATTAAATTTTTAATTTTTGATTTATGGTTAATTACCATAAAATCATAATAACTATAAATAACCATAAGCGCATGCGTAGTATGTACGGCAAAGTTTTTTTATCCTTTTATTTAATAAAATAATTAAATAAAAATACTTTGCCGTATATACTACGCATGCGTCAAGGCTGTCAAGCATGCCGTACATACTGCACATCAAAGATCAGCCTGGGGATTACATACACAAATATTGGAGAGATATATTCATCTCTTTTCACAAATGTAATTTTGGCGTTGTTAGAAAAAGAGGTCTGTAGTATCTATCTATCTCTCCAGGTACATAATATGGCTTCTCAATTGTGCTGAAAAGGGCAGCCTTATGTGCGCGCAAAATTTAAATCACTGTCAAACTTGTGTTTATTGTTTGCCCTGTTCTCTGACGAGCTGGAAACGGCAAGCAATATGTGCGCGTGAAATTCGAATCAATGTTAATATAATTTTAAATATTTGATTAATAAAATTGAAAAGAAATGAGTACAAAATTATACACACGAGTACTTTCAGAGTACAGAATTTGAAAAGAGTACGGTTTGTGAAAAAAGAGTACAAAACTCAGTAAATGAGTATAGTCGGTCACCTTAATTATCTACATATTTTTTTTGGTAGATTTTAAAGTTCCTTGCAAATTGTCCATTCATTAGCACATATAGGAAATAATTTATTTATTTATTTATGCTCCTTGAGATTCAACGCCATGTTGAATCTATTATGAGCCATTGCTATTAACAGTTTCATAATAGTCATAGAGATCAGAGTTTCATAATAACCATATGTTTATCAAGCTTGTCCTTGAAGATATTTATACTTTTTGCGGAGATGATTTCTTCTGGTAGTTTATTCCACCATTTTGCAACTCTATTTGTAAAAAGATTTTCCCTTGGTCTGTTTATTTTTATTAGCTCAATATCTACACGTGCTTTATGTCCTCTAATGTTTAAAGCTGGACCATTTGCTGAAATTGAAATTGCTGTTTTTGGTTGTTGATACCAACACACTTTGTCCAAATTATGAAATATTTTATAATATTGAATTAAATCATATCTTAATCTCCTGATTTTTAAATAAGTCAGTTGGAGTTTTTCTAACCTTTTTTCATAGGGTAGGTGTCTTAACTCTGGAATCAACTTTGTTGCTCGTTGTTGAACAATTTCTAATTTATGTATGTCATTTTTATTATAAGGGTTCCATATTGGTGATGCATATTCAAGAATAGGTCTTACAAAAGTGCAATACAAAATCTTCATTGTGTTTTTGTCTTTGTAAGTAAATGATTTGCTTAGTAGACCTAATCGACTATTTGCTTTATTTACAACCATATTTACATGTTGATTCCACTTCATAGTATTTGAAATTAACAATCCGATATCTTTTTCATTAGTTGTTGAATCTAATTTTGAATCGTTTATAAAATATTCAAAACTCTTATTATGCTTTCCAAAATGCATGATTTTACATTTTTTGATGTTGAAATTTATCATCCATTTGTCAGACCATTCAGTTAGATTATTAATATTGTCTTGCAAGCTTTTTGAGTTTACCTGGTTGTTAACTACAGCTATAATTTTGTTATCATCTGCATAAAGTTCGCATTTATTTTTAATTTTAGATGGT